TATATTATTAACAACTTTCCAATTGATTGCTTTCATTCACTATTCTCAAAAATTTCAACTTTCATTTCTTTATTTTTTTAATTGATTTTTTATTTCTTTTGTAAATTAACAAACTATGCAACGTGTCAATTAAAAAAATATGTAAAATTTTTGAAAATTACAAAAAAAATTGTTATTATTTAGTAGCATTATTATTTAGGTTCGGCCTTTACAATGCGTGGCTGTGCGGAAACATTTGGAGCAATAAATGAGAAGCTACTTGATGAGCGTGGTGATAACACGTGTCAAAGGTAAGGGATATGTTATTATCAATCAATATTTCGATTTTAACTTAGTAAGGAATTTTTTTTCCTTTTTTTGTTCGAAAATATAATTGATAAAATGATAGCGGTACTGATCAAAGAATAGTAATAACAACGAGTGTATAAGTTGATAAATGAATTAAACGTGTGGAAAAAAAAAAACTTTTTCAGGCTCCATGAACAGCTCGATATACAGGAATGCATCTGTAAGCATCGACGATATTGTTATCCGGGCGCAAAACGTCAACTTTTTGGCGCTTCAGCAGCAACAATATTTATGGCCTCAGCATCAGCTGATAATATCATATTTATATTTTATTATATTTTATTAATTTGTTTAAGGCTCGCATTTTATGATTATTTATAACATATAAATCATTCTTTTTCTTCCAGATGTTGCTGTTTATATTCAAAGTCAGTGAATTTTTTCTCTCAAAAAATTTTATCTTTCCTCGAAACATTCATCAAATATGGATTTCAACTGCTTAAAAGTATTTAAAATTATTGGAATTCCATTGAAGAAAAGCACACACAGACATATACAAAAATAAATCGTAGAAAATAATATGCTAAAAATGGCAAATAAAATGTGCTATTATTAATATGTATTTTATTTCCTTTAATGAATTCTGATATTTCCCACTTTACAAAAAGAAAAATCTAAATTTCTAATGAAATTACTTAATCATCAGTTAACAAATTTGAAGCTGATTACTCAATTATACGTTGCGTCTACTATTACTTGTATGGAGATATTTCAAAATGTGTCTTTTCAAATCTAATGATGGGAAAATTGAAATACTTCACCAAATCACACGTCAAATTTGAAATTTTAGAAGCATGGTATTGATTTAATCTTCCTGTTTACTTCACTTATTATTTATCCAAATTTATTCGTTTTATCTCACACCTTTGATTTTCAGTTCATTTCCGAGCCAAATTAGGTCATATAGTCTTGAAGTGGGTCGAAGATTTCAGTATCATTAGATCAAGAGAGATTTTTACTGACCTAATAATAATTAGATCAAACTTTATGAAATGTATTTTTGTAAAGATGACAAAATTTAGTGAAAAAAAAGAGAAATTGTAAGTTTATAAAAATAAAGAAGTCATAAATTTAAAAAAATATGAAATCATCATGAAATTATTTAAAATTTCGGTATAATCAACAAATTACTGCGAATAATGCATAATGTTCAATGCAAATTTTTCATTAGATAATTTTTATCGACCGAAATTATTATTAATTAGGAATCCAAAAAAAAAAAACTTAACAATAAATAAATGATAGTTTTTGATAGTGTTATATGAAAGTAACAAAATATGAAATGATAATATTTTATGTGCGTCATTATTACACTAATTAATTGGTGTACTAATTTGATATCGATAGAGAGATTCATTGGGAAGTCGTTGTCAAAATCATTACATTAACTAATTTGATTAATTACAGGACAGTTCAAATAAGTAAACTGTGCATCATTTTTCAATATTTTTAAATTTTAAGTTTTTTTTAGCTTCAAGTGGTTGCACTCCTACAGTTCATTTTATTTTTGTTTAATTCATTTTTTTTTTTTTTTGAAAAAAGGGAATTTGTATGATGGAGAAGGAAATAAGCTGTGTTTAGTGAGTCCAACAGTAATTTACATGAAATAATTATTGAAATCGAAATGTATCATTGCTGTTGTTGATGAATTTTTCATCTATATTTTGTGTTTTAGTTAGATTTTACTCCAGACATCAAAAAAGTTAAAACTGTTAATTTGTTGATCACTTTCAAAAATTTATAAATAATGCAAATGCTAATTTTGGAATTAAATGAATTTGAAATTTGAACTAGTTTGAAATGATTAGTAGCAAATATGGCTATTAATTTATTGTAACATTTAAAACAAATTCTAAGCTTATTTCAAAATTATGCTGCTTTGTCATCACTTTTCAAAAGTATACCAGCGATACCATTCTTGTTTTCGGTAAATGCCCGATATAATGTATAAAGAAGTAACCAATTGATGAGAATAGCAATAGAAATTAACAATAATATCTAAAAACGACAATAATTTTATTGATTAATTAACAAAAACACTTTTAAAAGGGGATGATTTTAGTGATTAATTAATTAAAATGACTGAAAACAACGATAATTTTATTGATTTACTAATTTACATTTTCCATCTAGAAATTTCTTCTCTCTTCTACTTGGCATTACCATATTGATAATGCAAAAGTATGCTACCAATTTTAAATGTTGAAATTTAACATTTTCTTGTTTTTGCTTATTGATGATTTGACAAATTTCTCACTACAATTTAAACAAAATGATAATTGGCAAAATTTTAAAATATTCAATGATTTATTAAACAAATAAAATGACAAGAGTATTAGACGACATATTCATCGTCCAAAAATGCTGTTAGTTGTCGTTATCATATGAAAAAGGGAACGAACTCGTATTTCGGCAAATGGTAATGTTGGCACTCGTTGAAGCAAACTTTTCTCATACCATAAATCAGACCATTCATAAATAATCGATATTATAATCCAAAATAAAGAACTGAGAGCTGAATTGTGAACTAATTTTAAAATTGAATCATTTTGAAAAATTTTTTCTTCAATAATAAACATGACAAAAAAAATTTACAGAATTTTATTAAAAGGAATTGACGAGTTCACAAACAAATAAGTAACGAATTTATTAATTGATACGTAATTTTTTTTTTTTAAATTTTCCTTTACTTAATTTTTAAAACAGTATAATAAGCAAACATTCTCTCAGTTTAAAAATAAACATCTTAAATTTTTATTATTTATTTTAATTTATTACCGGCAATATTTAATACCGGTAATGCTACATTATTAGGTGTTATAGTTGTGGGCAATCGCATACGCCATATAAGCCAAGTATGCCAGGTATTAGTTAGTAATGCTAATACTCCTTGAATTAACCCTGTGATCATCTGAAATTTCATTAAATTATTTTAACAGATTTTAAAAATACCAACGGTTTTCAATCACAGAATTCATTTAATTTTTACCTTATCAAATCTTTAAATAACTATGTATTCAGCTAAGCACATAATGCTTTAATGATATGATTAAAATAACTTTTTCATCTTCAATTTCTTTAAAATCATTTTTTCTCTTTAATAGTGGTGATTAAAATTACAATGCTTTAACAATTAAATAATCGAAATCACTATTCAGTTTTTGCTTTCATAAATTTACTACCTGATTTCGAAATGGAAAATTTAATGCGTCAAGATTATTTGTATCCAAATTTCCGCCTAGCAATGTTTCCAACCGTATTTCTATGCATATTTCAAACGTTCGATATATTCGATCGCTAAATTTCCATGTTTAAAAT